TAATGAAACATACAAATGACTATCTTATTCTACGAAAAACAGATCCCAATTATTATTTTGATTTTTGTATGTTAATAATCACCATCATCAGAAAAGTGTAGGAAACAGATTCAATACAGTTAATTAGAATAAAAAAAAAGTAGGTATTCCAATTTTATCGTGATCTGGTTTGAAACCATCTGTTTTTGTTTTCAATGATTTTTATAGTAATTGTAGTAAGGTTTTAAGTTTTTTTTAATTATGATTCCTCTCTTCTCTCTAAAAATTCCCTTCCTATTGATACATCATTCATCACCCCTGAGATCTGGAAAAGGGATCTTTATTGCGTACTATATAGGTTACTTTACAAGTTGTCCTAGACGATCAACAACTTGGTTATTACGCCCTTGAGCTATGATGTTATTATATGTAACTTATCTTTCTGAATCCAAAAAAAAAGTTTGTAAAATTTAATTGTTATATTCTATGGTACAATTATGTTTGTTTTAAAAGTTTTATAATATTTTCTATTGAATTTACTGAGTCTTTTAATACTATTTATCTACAATGGGGTATTTTGTTTTTTACGAAGGCTTGGTGTAGTAATGTACAACCATTTATTATATGCTTTATGGTTAGCGAGGACTGGCATGGTTGGTCCTCTTTTGTTATTAAATGGACATGAGTTAGCATGACCAATCCTCATCCTTGTCACAACCACTTCTTCTCTTCTGTTTCCTCTTCCAGCACTTACCCACTGTTTTTTACTTTTTTAAATGCTTCTAAGTTTATTAGTCACTGGAATTTCATGGACTTCCAATTGGCCTTTCCAATTCCGTACTATATTTATTGTGTTTCGACAATATCCCAATATAATTATTTAATAGATTATCCCCTTAAAATCAATTCCTATAGAAAAATCCTCAGTGTTTTTTTTTTTTTTCTGATTCTCCTTTGCAATGAAAGAAGTGATCAGAAGTGGAAGTACTGTCCTTTAGTCCTTTTTTGGTGATGACAATGGACTATTCAGCCTAAAAAGAGGATGTCCAGTACCCCAGATAACGTTACAGAAGATTCGTGGAACGGTTACTCATAACTCTTAACGGTGGTGGGTGGAGGGGGGAGTGAGAGGAGTAACTAAATAGAAATGAGATAGAAGAAAGCCGGGAGGGCGCCCTTGGACAGGACTCATATGGAAGTCGAAGAAGGAGTGGGTCAAGTACGTCACCTACCGCAACAGCTGGCTCTCTGTCACAGTCCTTAGTCGAGATTGCTTGTGCAAAATAGTTATATTTAGCATAATATTTAACAGGATAATACTCGTAAGGCTAATACGTTTGAAACATGGGTGGAAATGTGGGAGATTTATAATCTAATCCTCTAATCCTCTAGATAAATCCATACATTCCATATCTCGAGCCTTGTAGTAAGGTCACACATATGGTAAACATTTGTCAGATATACCGAACACAATACTTGGCAAATACGAATTATAGAACACTTTCCAACAATTTGTCAAATAATCTGTATTGACCAAGTGCTGGACCCATCATTGGCCAATGATTATTAAAGATTGGAGACTGGGATATTGGCCTACATATTGGCACGATATTTGACAATCCATATTGGCCGATTTCGGCTAATGAAACCTTAAAACTTCCTATTTTATTTTTTATTTTTAGAAAGCATTTATTAACAGTTTTATACTAATACAAGAAAAATGGTCAAGCTTTGCAGTCAAAAAATTATGTTTACTGAGTTTGCCGACGTTTCGATCCGAACATGTAGGTCATCATCAGGGATAAAATTTAAAAAATAACGATAAAATAAAGAAAAATTATAGATATAAAATCATAAGAGATGAATAAGGTGGGACGTACAAATATGATAAGGGTCATACAAGCCTAACAATAATAAAACATCACAAAATGCTGAGAAAATATTTTTGTGTCATAAATAAAAAAATTTAATAAATAATAATAATAAATAAATTGAACAAAAACGACGCACAGAAATAAAAATCAACGTATAGAAATGGAGGCTAATCAATATAAATAGTTTCTTAACAACTGCCAGTGGTTAGAAAATGCAGAAACATCATGATGACTAGTGTTGCCCAAAATCGGTTTTGGTCTTGCACTTTGCAAGACCAAGACCAAGGCCGCCTAGCTGTTGCATGACCAAGACCAGGACTGTTAAAAAAAAATCGATTTTTTAAATAAAAATCAAGTTAAAATAGTTACTAATACTCGACAATTTTAGTTACTATATGCTAATAATTCGTATAACTAATGTACTTTTGCATTTAACTCCACTAATTTTTCATTCGGACTTAGTTAGGTTCCTTCTATCTAAAAAATTACAATAATATCTCTATAGTAATAAGCTAATAAATAACTGCAAGACTGTTGTGAGACTCTTGCGCAAGAACAAGACCACGACCAAGACTGAGTTTGCAAGACCAAGAGACTCGCCTCGGTCTCGCATTTGGGCAACACTAATGATGACCCACATGTTTGGGTCAAAGTCAGCAAAGTCAATAAACTTAATTTTTTGACTGCACAACCTGGTCATATAACATCAACTATATTACCCATCTATAAAATAGACTAATTTCTAAATAATATTCTCCCTAAAGTTTAGATTATGCAAAGCTATCAAGAACATTCCGAAATCCGAAAATATAATATTAAAAATTTGAATAACCTGTTCCCTTATATAATTGATATAACACGTTTCTTTCTATGTAACAGGAGGTAGCGTTAAATTATTATTTTAAAACTAATCCATATTACGAAATCGATCCATTAAGATATAACAAAACCTACAGAACTCTACTGAAATCTTAAATTTTTCATATTTCGTTCGAAGTTATATTTATTTTATATACGGTAGCTATTTTATATTAGTACACATAAACTGTTGGTGTAATATTCGAACATTACACATACATAATTCATATTGCTTGAATAGTTTTCCTTTCATAACCCCGTTAAAAATAACTACAATAAAAAATTAAAAATTTTATAAACTATAAACACAGCATGGTTAAGTAAAACAATGTTTTGAAAACATTTAAGTTTGGACCTACATATGATGAACTGCCTCTTCGCCTTTACATTGTTTAAATTCCTCCCAACATAATCAGGCAACCTGAGAAATAGGAACAAAAGAAGACTTTAATTGAGCAGGTATTTAAATAAAATAGTAGTTCCTATGTAAGCCCGAAAATCATCATTTAAGTTGTAGATGAAATATTTACTTATAGACAATCAAAAACATATCACAAATGCGTCGGTAGCACCATATTAATTACTCCAACATATTTTTAGATACAAACATCCAAAATGATAAATACAAATATTTTTCAAATCATAGAATAAAAAATGTTACTTTTTTCTCTTTTTCTATCATCCGAGCGCAAATAAAGTTATTTACTTCATCATTTGTATTTTCTATTCCCTTCTGTATTTCACAATTGCATACACAGGTAACTCCTGAGATTACTTGAAAAATATTTACAAATATATACATATTAAAAATATGACACTGCAAACTTCTGATTTATGTATTTGTAAATATATATATATTTTTTAAATTTATATCGAAGGGTTAGGAAAAATGTCAGTTCCAGGTTGTGTCCCGAGTTCGTCCTCAGGCTGCCAAGTAATCGTGGTCAAACTTTAACACGAAATTAATATTACAAATTTCAGCTAGTAATGTCGAAGTTAATATGCATATCCTTACTCAATCTCCGCTGGCTTTCAATACCAGTGAAATGGTTGAGGAAGAAGCGCAGGAATGGGATGTGGGGGGGATAAGTATGGTTCGGAGTTCCCATGGCCGATTGTAAATAGTGTAAATAGGTATGCCTGCATCTAAGATGTTTATTTTCATTACTTTTTTTTTAATAATTTTAATTCTATTTTATTCCTTTATTTTCATTCTATTATTATTATTATTATTTATATTTTCTTTCTTCACTATGATATTTTATTTTGTTCTTTTGATGCTTTATATTATTTAAAGTTAGCTTATTTTTTTTTATTTTTAATTTGTAAATATGGTGTGAATGTCCTCTCAGAACTCTATTATAAATTTCCTTTATTGAGACAGATTGTAATATTTATCAATAAACAAATAATTAAGGGATAAAAAATATGCATACAATTCAATCGGCCAACACATACATATTTTTATTTCCTGTTTTCATAATGAACTTCTTAGGTGTAAGAATAGGCCTAAGATGAGACTAAAAAAAAGCTGGATGAGAGACCTTCTTTTCCGAATTAAGGACTGAATGGAGAACGCTAAGTGCTGCCGGTAACTGTTCTTTTCCATTAATGAATTCTATACCCAATTTTTAATTGTCACTTTTACATGTGAAAGGTACGAATGCTGAAATACTGAGAAAAAAATAAAGTAATATATAATATGCTTTAAAAAATATATATGGTCAGAAAATTCAATTAAAAACTAGTAATACAAGTGGAGAATTATATACATAATATTATATGTAATATACCCAACTGTTTTGTTCAGATTTTTTTAAATATATCATTAAAAAAAAATATATTTATTATTATACTGTTCGTTTCACAATAATTATGTTAATTTTATACATTTATCATTATTACTTAATTTTCAACACATGATATAAACTGCCGCCCTTTTTTACTTTACTTTTTTATCCATCGTCCTGCTATCAGTTAGTCGAAAATCTTACATAATTGTAACACTAATTAATTTTACTTATTTCAAAAATTAATAAAAATTTAAAAGAGAAGCATTACCGAAAAGTTGATCTTATTTAAACATAATAAGGAAATATGATAGTTTCATCAAGAAATATCATGTTCCCGTTCATCTTTTCTTCTGATATTTCGAATGAAAGTTTTTAACGAGAAGGTTTAAGACAGTTCCGTGAGAAACAAATAATCCCGATTATATTTTTGGAACAGCGATTCGTTCGTCGATTCAAAAAATAAATCTCAGATCAACACTTTCCAAAAACACAACTATTAATTCAGTAAAGTTTTGACTCGTTTAATTTTCGCTCTCGGTGGGGTTTCCGGTCCCTCAAAGGATATTTCCGCAAATGAATGAGCATTCGTGACTGACCCTTTGAACTGGGCAGCTCTCTCCTTCATCTCCACTAATCCCATCGACACATAAACAAACCCTAACGATTTCATCTATATATCGACCATACAATATTGGTAATCGATATTTCGACACATCTTGAGATGTGAAAGAACATCGGTCATGAAAGCATCAGAGGTAGATTGGGTTTAGTTTATTCGATGAATCCTATTTTTACCAATCAGATTTTTTTTTATTATTATTATTCGCACTTACAATCAGGCTGAAAAAGTTATGTGTTTCAACAAGCTAACTTCAATAATAAATTAGGGCATTTCAAACTCTCGAATTATTTTAGATCTGTACAAGAATATATATAAATTTAAATCATTAATCACATACTTTATTTATTTTTTTCGAGTCCTTAGTTTTACAGATTGTTCTTTAATATTGGTTGTACGAAAATTAATACAGGTTTGCGGTTGTAAAATTAAATAAATGATATGAAACTATTTTTATTAAACGAAATACGCTCCATTTATTCATGATAGATTTCTTTCAACATGTAGCTTTTCGATTTCCTCTAAATAAAATGTTGAATCGTTTAAACTAACAAATTCTAAAAAAAAAAATCCGAAAGAGTTTTGATCAACTAAATGTTGAAAACATCTCTAAAAAAAATGGTATTCACTAAGAGAGAGGTCTGAAGAATAGGGCGGAAAATGTTTGATTCTGTTTTGGAAAAAAAGTGCAGCGGAAACTATATAACGAAGATTTTTTGGCGATCCTTTTATACACGAGGGATCCAAGTTTCAAGCATTTTTAACTTTCCAAACGAGTTGAGGTGGTCATCAACAGCCGATTAGCTAAGCGAGAGTTTCCCTAAAAGTTCCCAGACAGTTATTATTTTATTCGACCAAAGTTCGCAGTACGTCTCTATCATGAAAAGAAGCCCTGCCACGACGATCTTCGTCTTCAAGGCCGAAGTCTCCCTTAAAAATTTGTTTAAACCATCGTTGAACGGTGCGTTGACTTACACTGCCATCACACGGACTTCGTTAATATTTCTGGTCATTTAGGCAAGGTTCCGACCGAGTTAACGCGTAAAACTTAAAACTTGAAATTATTGTATACAAAATCGCTCATAGATATCTTAGTGAAGACTGAATTATTGTCAAATAATGTAACCATACAGAAGATGAAATATATTATTGTTTGGAAGAGGATTAATAAGTATTGAAAACCACACGAAAGAATGATCTTAAACGGAAGCAGTTTGTTATATAGAGGTTAATATAAAACATAAAACCCTGCGTTATTTTCCGGACAACATAATTTTTCCTTTTCTTGTTTCATAGATAAATTTTAAGGTTTTTCGGTCAGTTCGTTTGTTGTAATCTTAGAATTATTTTGGGACCGATTATCAGTTAAGTTAAGAATAAATGATTTTTTTTTTCAATTCCCGAGTTTCATAAAAGTTTAATTTTCAATGATGTCATGTTAAAACATAATATTCAAGAATTAAAATAGATTGTTGATGCTAATAATAATTCTAACGAGAGCCGAAAATAAAGAAACAAAAAAATAATAATAATTTAATTAGAAATTATATAAATTTTAATTTTTTATAGAAAAAAATATATAATTTTATTTAGTTTTTAATGACCTTAGCGACTATCACTTCTAATCTCCACGCCCTGCATAATCAATTACCCGAAATAAGGTCCACTCATCAGTTCAATAAGGACGACGCCCTGGGCATTATCCAGAACGATAAGTAATTGATGACTCGTTCCAAATTGAAATATGATTTACTAGGTATATTTCACAACTGCAGGCCGACTCTCCGGCCCAATCTAATATGGGGATGTGATCCAGCCAGCATGAAAACGACCAATAAAGGAACAAGGAGGGCCTATAAAGGAGATAGCTATAACCAATACACAATGGAGCCGACGCAGTCACCTGTATTGACCAATTAGCTCAACAAAAGCAGCTAACACGGGCCTTTCTTATGTTCCCCGCCCACAGATTTATAGTCAATGCTCTGCCCCTCTTTGTTCATGTTCTTTCTTGAATCACTCCGATCGGCAACGTCCCCATCCTCTTTTTGGAACGGGTTCCACTTGCTACCTCTAATGACGTTGAAAACTGAGGAAGATAAGTTCAGGCTGTAACGAGGCATTGTCAGACTATGTGGAAACGGGGACATTGTTCATCTAGATATAACTTTTGATATTCTTTTTAAAAAGAATAATGCTTCTCCGCTGGCTCCTGGAGTCCTGCTTTCCTCTCCATAGTTGGAGAGACTAGCCTGCACCGGAATTCCCTCGCCTTATTGTAAATAGTGTATACAAGTATGTATGAGTTTTTTTTTGTTGCTTTCTATAATTTCCTTATATTTAAGTTAATTTATTTTATTTTTTTCACACGAACCGGCCAGCAAGGACCACGCGAATATTATTTCCGTTTCCTCTTCAAACCCTCAGCCTTCCTCTTACTCCAATACTCTCTCATCCTCCTGGACTCTTCCTCTCGCTCTTCCTTAATCCATTTTCTTTCTCGTCTCTCCTTCTCACCTTCAAGAACCCCAACCCCTTTCAGTTTTTCCCTAAAAAACTCTCTATCCAAACAATTTTTATCCGTGATTTTTAGCCTGTCTAATTCCTCTTTTATTTGTTTTGCATATCCCCCAATACTTTTATAGCTGCAAACTTTGTCAAAAATTGTATTTGTCATTTTATTTATTGTATATACTTTTTGATCAATATTTATTTGTTATTTGGCTTCTGTTTGTTTTACATATTTTTGTACGTATAGTATGAATGTTATGTCACCTCACTACTACCGATGTCCAAGTGACAGAATGTTTTAATATTCAATAAATAAATAAAATAAAAGAATAATGTGTTATTTTTCACAATAATTTATTTTATCATATTATTTTTTACTTGATGAAAACATGCTTTTCTTCCTTTTCCTTCCAAGGCATTGTTTATGTAATGACTCTGGATGTCAAATAGTTCCAATAGTCATTTCTAAACGTTTTTTTTTTTCATAATGTAATTTGAGAGCGAAAATTAGATTTGGAATAATAAAAATTAGGCAAAGAAAAAATAAAATTATAAAAAGAAATAACAAAATTGAAACTGGATATAATATTGACAAAAGTAATTAGGGTTTGCACTTTTGGGGAAGGTGTTGTCGGAAGGACTAATGGTAAAAATAATGTAATATGAACAATTAATGTTATCTAAGTTGTTATAAATTGAAAAAAATATAATAAATATTGGTTTATAGATAGAACTATGATTAAAGATAGAAACATTAGAAATTGAAGGAAAGAAACCTTATTTCCGCACGAAAATATGTTTTTCTGAAGAAACGTTTAGAAGGAGTGGAATATTTTATTTTCGAAATAGCCAAACCGGGAAAATGATAATTCCCATACATACATAGAGAACATCAATACCAATACTTAAAATTTAACCTGTATGCTTTAGGATGATAGAATATGAAATCATATATATTTTACTTAAAAAGCGATGAATTTCAACTTATTTCATAACAAACCTCAAATTATTTAATATTGACTTAAAGTTCATTAAATAAGGAAGTTTTTCTAAAAGTGGTGTAGATGTAGGTGTGTTGGAGAGAAATGAAACAAAAATCTGGTGCGCAACACACAACTTTCACTTACTGCTCTGCTTTGAATGTAAATTATGTTCTGACAATGATAGGCTATTATAAAATTCTTAAAGTGCAGTTTAAACGGAGCTAAAGCTTTAAGCTTACAGATAACAAAAAATTAAGACCATTAAAATTACAAAAAGTCTATTTATTTATATCGACGCTAGGCAATAAAAATCTAGTTACTCCACTTTCTTTTATAAACCACATAACTTCAGTCTCTGAGCCTTCAGCCGACAGAATGACTTATTCCGATTTCAAAATTTTTGAGTAATGTCATTTTATTGATATTTCTAGTTGGAAAGGTTATATTTATACAGACAGTGAGTAAGTAGATGCCAGAGTAGGCGATAACAGTTTTAAAACAAAATATGTGAATAAAGGTATAAATTTTGCCAGTAGAAACATCACTAAAATTAATAATAAAGAATGTTGATACTAGAGTTAGTCATTCTGTAAATCGAAAGGCTCATATATACCAATAGACATTTGAAAGTTCATCTGAATATTTAACGTATGAATGATTATAGATTATAGAACTATTAGTTATTTTCCATTGTAAAGTTTAATAAAATGAAATTACGAGATTTTCCCGCAAACCATGGATAGAATTTGGTCATTATTCATATAAACTTTTTGATAACTCTTGAAGTCTGTTAACACCTCTTTAAACATTCACTTTACTTTTGGAACACCCTGTATATTAAAGCTCCAAACCTGTTTGTTTTGAAAGATTAGTTTACCAAGAAATATAGTGAAAGGTGAACATAAACGTGACATGAACGAAGATAAAACTATATTTTCATATTTAAAAACAATTTATCATTCTATTTACATCTAGTAAATAAATCTTGTATTTTACTGGAGTATAATAGAGCTGAGGTTGCTATATTGGGTACTGCGTACCGTTGACTTGAGCCTGCATAATAGTAAGGAGGTAAGGCACACCGTAACCATATTCCACTCCATTGTTTATGTCCACCGTCCCCAAGGCCTCAACTTACACAGTCACATTAAGAGGGCATTCCTGCCTTTTCTCATATTTCAACTTGTAAACTAGTTCTGGTCAGATTTATACCTTCCGCGTTTGCGGTGTGGGCAGTTAGTTCTTAGAGGGAACTCACTACAGGGAAGAGTAGGTGTGAATTAAGATGGCTATCGACCAGGACTAATTTGAATCTTGAAACAAACGTCGACAGCTCTGCTCGCACTTAATTAACCAGTGGATCGCCGTCTCGTGTTCGATTATTTCTTAGCTAAGATGGTAATTAGGGTAACTTGGTTGAGTCAACATCTGTTGGAAGAAGCAAGCAGAGAAAGAGACCTGATACAATCAGGCATAAATTCATTACAGTTTTAATCTGTATCATTGGAAACTGTTGCTAAACCGGCCATCAGCATTTCTAGTAAACTATTTATTAAGTTATTGGATCCGCACAGAAGGATAATAGTTTGTGATGAAATGATTTTCATTAAGAACATCAATATTGTCGAACACGTGCAAGACTAGACTTGTGCAAAAGTTTATTTCTTACAAAAATGGTTGTTTAGAATATTCCGAAAGTACATCTTTGATAGTTCTGAAAATCTGGCAATATTAACACATTGAACTCTCGAGAGGAGGTTATCGTGTGAAAATCAGCAATTGCCAAAACGAGTAAAAATATATGGACTTCTTCATTACTTTTTTTAAAAAACATGATTTTTTTTATGGGAAGGAATTGATCCTGGGGAAGGAGTCGAATAAATACTAAATTATAGAAATAGTATTATTTAATTAAATTAAAATTTAAAAAATAATTAAATACTATACTATACTATGTACTATAATATACTATATAATACAATACTATACTATATACTATTTAATTAAAAATAAATAAATAATACTATTTCTATAATTCAGTATTTATTTGACCGCACCCTCCGATCAACTCCTTCTCATATTATATCATGGTCAACCATCTCTACATCATTATGATTTTTTTTAACTTGTTTTAATTGGGGTCTTTACCTTCCTGTTTTGCTCTCATTGTAATCGTGTTAGGTCCATCATATACTTTGTGTTGTCTCATACAGATAGTGTAAATAAAGTATTCACTATAGCTCTTCATTTTTCGCGTAATTAATGGCACTGGAGGATTTAGAGAGAGGGGGAGCATTCGGGCTGAATCTTTACCTTCACCTACCCCCTCCCCTCTCCCCCCCACGCCCCAAAAAATAGACAATTTTTTTTTGTATATTTGTAACTGTATATGATCTAAGATAACTACTTAAACAATAACAATTTGTTATATTTTTTTTCAATTATAATGCACATACAACTACTAAAATATAACTATGACTTATGAAAAAAATAACTCTAAAAGTATTATTGTTTGTGTGATTACATTTCTAATATGACTTCAAGAATCCCTTAAAGACCATTTCATATGAATAGTTTCATTCTTTTTCTTCTCAAGAAATTACACATATGTAAATATCCAATACACAAACATACACATATGTAAAATAAATAAAATAATTACTTTAAAAGATTTCAAACACAGATTCATGTAACCGTGACGGACATACTCCACAAACATTCAAACATACTCTATGCCTGTAATTTATGCGGGCACGCAAGATACGATCTCATAAAATTCAGTGTAACGCAAGGACGAACATGGCCAATTTTAGAGGAGAAAATATTATCAAAATATAAAATTGAGCTGTTAAACTTTATTTACAAGATATGCCTAAAATTTGATCCAACCTGGCAGTATTTGGTAGGCTCTTTTTTATTTTCGAAATTGAATGTTTCCTTTAAAAAATCATTAAACCAATATAATTATTAAAAATTAATTTGTAAAAAAATAGTTTGAAAACCTGGTGTCCTGAAAGGGTTATATAAATATTTTTTTCTGAAAATAGACATTTGAATAAAAAATGACACATAATGATGGCAGTCGATAATGGGAATAAATCTGGTCATAATGCAAGGCACTTTAAGAGTAATAAATAATTAAATTGAATAATGTTTAAATAAATAAACAGGTTTCTAGAAGTATTGCAATAAGATAGCTATTAATCCTAGTATCAAGTTTATGAATTGTTGATTATTTTTTCTCTAATCAATAATGTATGTTACTACATTATGTATTTTTCTCTCAACAATATTTCATATTCTGCAATGTATCCCTTTTCCCCATTGAAAATGAAAATATATACTGTATGAGGTATAAATAGGTAATTATATAAAGTAGGATAGGACTGAGCTAACAGGGTCCAGAGGGCGTAAAGTAACACGTAAGAAGTTATTTAATAGCCAGCGATAAATACTGAGAAAGATATTACAGCCTGCCAATGAGATATATTGCCACTTCTTCCAGCACGACCCTCAACAATAAAATAGTGGGTCTCGGTATGTGGGAAAAATTGCATCCAATAAATTGTCAGTTTCAGAGAGAGTTACATTTATTAATTCACGTCTCATTTTTTATTGGTAAAAAAAAA